ATAAGAATGTGGCATAAGGATTAGAAGGAGACTTACCAACACCTGCATTATGCAGATAGTACAACTTTGGTTGCTAAAAGTAAAAGTGAAGAGGATTTGAAATATTTGCTGTAGTAATAAATGTTGGAGAAGATGTGATGAGATAGGAACTCTTATACAATGTTGGTGGGATTGTAAAATGATACAACCATTCTGGAAGGCAGTTTGGCGCTCCCTCAAAAAGCTGAACATAGAAATTTCATATGACCCAGCTCTTGGGTCATATACTGCTTGGAATATATCCTGAGATAATGAGAACTGAGGCACAAATGGAGACCTGTACACCAGTGTTCATAGCAGCATTATTCACCATCACAAGAACATAAAAACAATCCAGACGTCTGACCACAATCAAATGGATTGAGAAATTATGGTACATTCACACAATGGAATACAACACAGCATGCAGGAACAATGATTTTGTAATTATTACCTAGCTTGGGAGGGACTGGAGTTCATTATGCTGTGTGAACTAACTCAGTCCCAGAAGGACAAATATTGTATAAAACAATTATTGTATAATGAGTATGAGGATCCAAGGGTGGGGGGAGTTTCCATAGTCCTGCCAGTAAGGACATCTTTCCTCAGTCCTCTAGCAAGCTAGGGTGAAGGCTTCTGTCTCTGCTCTGTGGGGCAGTAGTCACAAATCAGTTCTGTCTCAGGTAGTCTCTGGTTTTCTTATAAGGCTGCTGTTTTTCAGATGCAGTTCTAGGCTGTTGTGCCAGAATCTCTGGCTACAAATAACATGCACTGCTTCCTCTTTCTTGGTAGTGATATTCCCGATTTCTGTTGCTATTCTGCTCACCTTAATGGTAAGACTAGCCAATCCCCTTGTGGATAGACTAACACACCCTGTTTGTGTGTCCCCATGCTTCCATGTGGTGAAGTCATCAATGGACAGGAATACCTTCTAGTAAGAATGAGCTCTGATGACTTTAGTCAAACTGACTTTTCACATTTGACCTACAGAACTGTAAGAAAGAAATGTGTGCTATATTAAGTCACTAAATTGGTTACAGCAGCAATAGCTGTTGCAATAGCAATAACAATAGCAATACACTTAGCTATGGTCAGTAGTTGTTTTTGTTATGTGCCATCGAGTCCCTTGTGACTCATAGCAACCCTGTGT